AGGACAGGTTGTGAGATGCACTCTTAGATTATGAATCGCTAATGGCTTGAGAGTTGCCGTAATTCATGTAGGCTGGTCTCTATGGTCTTTCGGTTGTCTGAACAGGAGTGAATTTCTTCCGAGTAAACTCCCGTCTCACGCCTACCGGAAAACTTACGCGAGAACCCGATTAAAAAATAGTGCGTGTATCTTAGACAAGCCAAAGGTTGGCCCAGTGTCACCGTCGCTTGAACTTTTTCATTCTGAATCTCCCACGTGGCGAATCGTTCCACAACCGATTCTCCTGTGGTTATCCTCTACCAACTTAAGCAGCATCCGTTTTAGAACGTATCCTCCTCCTATGCCGGCCCGAAAATCACGACCGATCGGGTTCGTCTATCGATCGGTCAGATAGGTCACCGCAACAAGAGACCTGGTGTTTGTCTACCTAACCCGAGCGAGAAGCCACACCTTGTCTACAACCGCGAGTCTTTAACAGACCCAGTGAACTTCGGATGTACAGCAGGCGTGCCTTCACCACACGGATGGACTGAACATGACAAGATCACAAAAAGTACACGACAATGTGAAACGACGGCGTAATCAGACTATCGGACTATATACATAGCGACATGACATCTTAAATTGACACTCGGACACCTTAAACTGAAAAAGGTATGCATTATGAATCACGTTAAGGCATTACTAGTTGAACTTAGTCTGACCAACAATGCAATGAATGCATTTATCGGTAACAACAGAAGCAAACGAACGAATAGATGTCTACAGACGCTAATGATAAACATTTTTCGACAGAAAATCATGAATAGATTGCACAAGGAACAATCAGTTTGAATACGGGAAGGAAGTCAATGTTCTGAGTATACCCCGTAACATATATTTCACTCGTTTTAGATGCTATTTCCTTCTCACTGTACTCGAACTGGTTCATCTTTATTTTCTTTGAATGGGTTAATAATGTGAGTAATATAGCTAAAACAGTTGTATATTATGGTGGACGTCATATAATCAATTCTGTTGTTAGCCAAACGTTGCAATGGAATGGAGGAATATCTGGAATATGGGATCATTGGGTCAGAAAATGTTCCCCTAAACAAAGGTAGGTAGTTTCGGGATAACTAGACACATAGAAGTGAAAAGGGCTGAATACCGCATGCAATGTACCGATATTAGCTGAGTGCGTCATAAAAGATTTAAATTTCTTCGATACATACGGGATACGCAGGAACTTAGATCTAAGTTCCGTTATAAATAAACGGTTTATAATTATAAATATTGGGAAGAACTAACTGGATTAATCTACTTTTCATCGATCCGGTTTATTTCGTCACAAAACTATCAACCGATTTTTATACTACTTATTGGCATCCACTACTGCTATGTCGAAGTTCTTGGAGGTTACCCGCTTTTTCGAATTCCCGAGGGGTGCGATATAGCAGGTGATTGAGTGTACTCTCAATCTCTGCCAAGCAATTACTCGTTCATTTATATATTCATTGGCTGTAAATAATCCGGCGATATTGTTTCTGGATGCAAAGCACTCAGCTTTGAAGAGGCATCCGAAATTCAAATCAAACTAAACGATGTTGTGAACTGGATCCTGTCTCGTTACCTCCCGTTGAATGCCTCAAAACCTCAGGATGTTGTATTTTACCCCTTGGCTGAAGAACCATACAGAGCCCTCATAAACAGATTTCCTTCCCTTTTTGCCAATCATTAACCTATTCTGACATCAACAATGATGAAAGATATCTTGGCGCCACACTAACACACAATTTATCATGATCCCTGAATGTTCAGGATACATACTGTAAAGATAGATAGATAGAGAACTAAGATATCGCATCAGCGAACGGTTCGACGTCAGCTCATGTGAGGCGGCAATAATGAATCCACTTACGATGGATTGTTTCTTGAAAGTTGGTTCTCCGCTATCACCCGCGGGAGGCACTTCGACCAAAACTTCGTCCACAAAGCGCTCCTCAGCCCGTAAGATCAAGCCCTCGTCGTGTTGCAGAATAAAAGAATCCTCAACACCACTTCGTAGACTCTCTCCGGGTTTCAAAAAAAATGACTTCTCTCCCTGGACAAGCTTCTTCCCACCTAGCTGAGGTACACCTGTGTCGTCCACTGGGTTCATAATAACACAGAACTGGTGCGAGTTGAGAACGGTTATCTCTACCGGTCCAACCACCTCTTCGTGCACGCTGCAAATGTAACTGTCCGTATCCTCGGATGTGATTAGCCATTCATCACCTCGACGATGAGTGCGACCGAACTCGTCAACGTGGGCCTCTGTAGCTCTCAGGTGTAAAGCAACCTGCAGTTGTTATAACAGGGTTGAAACAAAAGAAAGACGGGCATGATTAAATCTCAGTCTAGCGAACGTTAAAGCTTTAGGCAATTTACAGTAATGCTAGTCATATAGTTGAAATCATTCGCATTAGTGTTTTGGGGTTCTGAGGTCAGAGGTTCGAACGTTGCTACCAGTACTCAGCTGGTGAGCTCCATTGTGGTCTGGCTTAATATCACACCTATCCCTATTGGGGGTGTTATGTGGTTCACTAATCAGTTCAAGGGACTAGGTTTCCCGTTTGCATAACCGAACAACAGATCACAGCCCACAAGCCAAGCATGGAACGCTTTTCCTTTTTGTGAAGATTATTGTACCATGATTTGTTTGGCACACAGTCTGGCCTCAGACAAGTGTGACATAATATTATAATAATACGGGTTTTACCTCATCTACTTTTTATAATATTCGGATATGAGATAGCAACAACAGATGACCTAAATTTATGGTACACTTCGTTGTAATCCTTGTTTGTAGACAATCTCAGTTTGAGGAGCGTAGGATGGGGGGGCTAACAATAAAGATTAAAAGATTGACTGCAGTTCATTGATCGGTACCTTGTCTGTGATGTTGAATGCAGAACGATGCTCGACGACAGTTTCATATGCTCCGGGAAGGTAGATCCCTGGCGTTCGAATGAGCCACATTTCTCCGAAAACCCTCGGTTTACCAGATCGATCGATGCAATCTTTGGTGGCCCGAATCAACAATGCGGTATTTGGTTCAATGACAGTGGCTGTTTCGATTCTCAAAATCTCCACTTCCTTTCGCGGATAGAAGGTTGCTGTAAGCAGAATCAGAAAGAGGGCAGACTGCATCAAAACTGCGAGAACGTTTTATTAACCTTTTTCTTATTCAGTTGCAAAATTAAAACAAAAAATATGCCGGGAAATTACTCAATTACACCGATATATCATAGGATATTCGATTAAAATCTGGTGAGAAAATGAAGACCATAAGCTTATCGAAACAGTTTAAAACCCATTCATTATTTTCAAATGTTGGCAGGAACACACGGAGGTTAATTTGGTGCAACCAGTAATCCCGCTATTCTGTGCCTCGGTTATGGGGCAATGGACGAAAAGACAAGTAACTGGAGGGATGAAACAGCATACATAACCTTCAAACATTCTGGTCAGACAAAATGTAATAACAAGAAAGTCACTGCTGTCAGTTCGCTGCCACATCCTGCAATGTCTCCAACCAACCGGTTGTGGAGTCTTTCGGAACCCAACCTGGAAGGCGCGAGACACCTACTCTACCTGATCGTTATGAGTATTTATTCATACCCCGTCTCCGCGTCATCTGCTGACCTTCACGGGGTTTACTCCAACCCCGAGTGGCTACAGCGAATAAGGCACGGTGCAGTAGACGACAGCTGGACATAGGCAATAAGTACCCTAAACAGTAAAACCAATTACTTTGAATCCGATGAGCTAGAAGACTTATTCCCGATAAACTACCAAATACGACGACTTACCTATAGATTGCTAATCCGTACACATAATCTCGCGTACGGCAAGCTACGTAAGCGCCGATAATCTAAAATTCCTAGTCGATGGATATTTTCTGTTCGCAAATTCAAGGTCTCACAACCATAAAGTAAAATTAAACGAACGGTGGTACGGTATACACGAAATGTGAACCACATTAAAACGTCACCACTGAGACAAAGATGTTTCAGTCCCGTGTACGCTATCGGGCCTTGGAAGTACTCGGGGTAACGTACTGTGCTGCGCTACGAGAGATGTTGGTCATGCAACTACTTAAGTAGAAGAAGCCCATTGAATACCATACTCCGATAAGCAAAAACCAAGACGCGATACAATTAAAAAAAATAAAAGCCTCTTGTTCCCTAACTGCATTCAAAGCGGACTCCGTTTAAAAACTGGATAAATTAACAGAGTTTCACGTCGAATACTTTGACACCATTAGGGTAGTTAGCTGACTAACATACGACCTTTAGACCTCGTTTGTTCAACAAGCTTTGCAATACCAACAGTTGCAAAAATAAATAAACTTCAACATCTTTTGATTCGAAAATATTGATATTTTCCTATCTGTCTCTGTTTTAGCGGCATGACTAAAATTTCTGTACCGAGTTTAAACGATTGTGGTTCAGGGTAAATAGACTGTCGGTTTTGCCTAAAGCTAGATAGGACAATCTGTAGATCCTTCATGGGACAGGTGGATGTCGTCGCATCTCGAGTTGATACATACCCAATTAAACCCTATGCGAAGCATGCATTCATTCACAAATCAGCCATCAGAAGAGATGGAGTAGCTTGAGCAACAAAATTTATATTTCCTTTACTTCTTCCATGGTTCTTAAATTTGGAACTCGAATGATCCAGTGTCATAACCATATTCTACACTTTGGAGGAGCGGAAGATACGACAAAAGTGTCTTTTATACAGGGCTTGAAAATAACAAACATCTAGTTGCCGTCATCATAAGGCTCAGAAAGGTGAAAACTATTCACGGAAAAAACTGGCATCACCTGCATTGTGATGAATCGCAAATTTTAAAGCTACTCCAGATGATTACGTTGCTATATTATTCTACCATAACACAATTTAACAGCAAGGAGGGTATTACTTTCCCTTCTGGCTGATGTATCTACATTCCTCAGGGATACAAAACAAGTTTTCCTCTTTTCTCTATGAATCATTTGAGCTTATGATACTACTGAATGTACTTTAAATGTGGATATTGAATGCGAGCGGATGGAGACACTGTGGTCAATTAATTGCGATAATTTTTGACCTATACCAGCAAAACAAGTTCAGTTCAGTTTGTACAAAAACCGTTAATCACGCATATTCGTGTGCCGGTTTTGGTTGCTGTCTTTTGGCTGCCCATTTGGATGAAGAATAGGAGAAGAAAGGAAAGTTGAAAGTGGAGTCGAAAAGAAAATGGAGAAACTCAGTGGTCTAAGGTTGCAAAGAAATGGAGAAGATGCTCGAACACCACAGCCATATCACTCAGTGTTTCTAACCATCGGTGGCCATCATCCCGAGGTCCCCATCCAGGGAGCCTAACGGGACCTATGTGACCCAGTCTCCTAGTCAGGGTTTCCATACCCTCATACCAGGTCTTAGCTTGACCACCCTTGACTTTTTCCACTCGGTATCTGCTTCGGTGAACATCGCTCGCCGAGCTAACCTATCTGGTGACATGCGTAACACATGTCCCAACCAACGTAGTCTATGGAGGTCGACCACTTGCTCCAGTCGAGGACCGCGAATACCCAAAACTCTGCCCCTAACCTCAGCATTGCTCATCCGGCCACCCCATCAGATTCGTGCAATGCGGTGTTCAAACAAGGACAGTCTATTTTTATCCTGTTCCCGTAATGGTCAAGTATCTGCACCGTAAAGTAGAACTGGCCGAACTGCCGCGGCATACACTCGACCCTTCACACACAGCTGGATGTTGTGACGGCGCCACAGATGTCTCAAGTTGGTAAATACCAATCGAGCCTTCTGTATGCGCTCTAACACTTCATCCGTGATGAGTCCACCGGGTGAGATGTAGCTGCCCAAATAACAAAACTTATTCACCTGCTCTATTACTTCCCCAGTTCGAGTGAGGCTGGGTGCAGGACCAACCCAGTCTTGTAGTAACATTTTACACTTTGAAGGTGCAAAACGCACACCGAATATGGCTACGCTGGCATTCAAACCTCCAGAAATGCTTGCAACTTACCTGGATCTTCACTTAGCAGCACAATGTCGTCTGCGTACTCTAGATCAGACAGTCGGCCTCCTGGGAGTAAATCGATACCGCTATTATCGCACGAGGATAGGGCTGTTTCCATAATCAAATCTATAACAAATTTGAATAGAACAGGATGAAGAGGGCAACCCTGACGAACACCACTTTCTGTGGTGAACTCGGGCGA